AAGCGTGATCCTCTAATGAGTGTTCACAACATACATGTTCTGTCTTCCTTGCCACAGCACCTGCAGAAGGCAGAATTCTGAGATGGCTCTCATAGCCTTTGCCCTCTGATGTTAATGTTTTGGTTATGTGACATGGCAAGAGGAATTCCGTAGATGAAATTAAGGTTACTAATCAGCAGACCTTAAGGTAGGAGATGGGTGGGTCTAATCTAATCGTGGGAGCCCTTTAAAAGCAGAGCGTTTTCTTTGGCTAGTGGTAGAAAAGGCAGTCAAACAGGTTCAAGGCATGAGGCAGACTTGGCTTGAGGGAGGTTTTCCCTTGCTGGGTTGGAGGGGGCCAGGGGGCAGCCACTAGGAGCAGAGATTGGCCCCCTGGCTGACAGCTGGAAAGAAAGTGAGGACCTCAGTCCTACGACAAGGACCTGGATTCTGCCAACAACCTGGATTACCTTGGAAGCAGATTCTTCCCCTAAGCCTCCAGACAAGAGGCCAGCCCAGCCAACACTTTGCCTTTGACTTTGACAAACCCTACGCAGAGAACCCAGTTGACTCCAGCTGGACTTCTAACCTGCAGAAATACGAGATAATAAATAGATGTTATTTTAAACTGCTAAGTTTATAATAATTTGTTGTGTAGCAATGGAAAACTAATGAGGCACCCATCTCTGGAGAGAAGTTTTACTCCTATTTTGTAAGTGATGAGGCCCAGGGAGGTGTGGTTGTTTGGCCAAGATTGCATAGCACATGAGTGACAGGCCGAGCTACAGCCTGGGGCACAGGCCAGCAAACTGTTTTGTAAAGGTTTAGAGAGCAAATATTCAGGCTTTGGGGGCTATACAGTTTCTGTCAATACTATTTCATTCTAACATTGTAGCACAAAAGCAATATGTAAAGAATGAGCACGACTGTGTTCCAATAAAACTTTTTAAATGCTACATTTTGAATTTCATAAAATTCTGCATATAATGAAATATTCTTATTGATTTATTTATTTATTTATTTATTTATTTATTTATTTATTTATTTATTTTTGAGACAGAGTATCGCTCTGTTGCCCAGGCTGGAGGGCAGTGGCGTGATCTTGGCCACTGCAACCTCAACCTCCCGGGTTCAAGTGATTCTCCTACCTCAGCCCCCGAGTAGCTGGGATTGCAGGTGCCTGCCACCACACTCGGCTAATTTTTGTATTTTTAGTAGAGACGGGGTTTCACCATATTGACCAGGATGGTCACAAACTCCTGACCTTAAGTGATCCATCCTCCTCGGCTTCCCAGAGTGCTGGGATCACAGTCGTGAGCCATCATGCCCAGCCATGAAATACTCTATTTTCTTCAACCATTAAAAAGATGTGAAAACCATTATTCTTAGTTGGCAGGACACGTAAAAATGGGCAGTGAGCCAGGTCTGGTCTGTGGGCCACAGTTTGCCAGCACTTCCCAGGTGCCTGACTCCTAGCCCAGGGCGTCAATGATTATCAATAGGGCTAAGGGGTGGTACAAAGGGCGCTGGACAGCAAGGCTCTGTGTCTAGGTCCCTGTTGTACTTCAGATTTGCTATGTGACTTCAGGCAACTCACTTTCCTTTTCTGGGCCTATAAATCAAAGCAGGGTAACGGCATTCAAATCTTTTCTCTACGCACCTCCCTACCCCCAGGGATTTTTCCAAAGCAAAGCTAATACAGAACTCTAGCTTCAAAAGCTGACCTAAAGGGCACCTGCTCTGACTGGCGGGGAATGTGGCTGGGGTCCCTGTCCACTCCCTCTCATTCCACTCACTCCCAGGAGCCCCAGAGTCTCTGTAGAACACAGTCTGCAAACCTTTGAACAAGCCAGTCTCTAAAACCTAACTAAGGCAGTCTAAACCAGGGATTCTCAACCCCTGACATCTGGGACTGGAAAATTCTTTGTTGTGGGTGCTGTCCTGTCCTGTGCATTGTAGGTTGCTACTAGACGCTTTTTGAGACAGGGTCTTTGTCACCCAGGCTGAAGTGCAGTGGCATGATCTCAGCTCACTGCAACCTCTGCCACCTGGGTTCAAGGAATTCTCCCGCCTCAGCTTCCCAAGTAGCTGGGATTACAGGCACCTGCCACAGCGCCTCGCTAATTTTTGTATTTTTAGTGGAGCCAGGGTTTCACCATGTTGGCCAGGCTGGTCTCAAATTCCTGACCTCAGGTGATCCACCCTCAGGTGATCTCGGCCTCCCAGAATGCTGGGACTACAGGCCTGAGCCACTCTGCCTGACCTGATTTCTTTTAACTTAACTGATATTTTCTAATTTTTCTGCAATGTCCGGCAATTTCTTTTCACTGAAAAAAAAAGAAAAAAAAGAAGAAGAAGAAGAAGGCAGGTATGCAGTTTTATTTTTGTCAGTGTGCTCAGGGCTAGGATGGATGGACCTGTAAAGCCCTTTGGAAGCCTAGAAGAGAGACCAGATTATACTACTATGGGACACTGAGAAGTCACCTACACAAGGTGACCTGTAACCTGAGTTTTAAGGGAAGTGCATGAGCTCACCAGGTGAGGAAAGGACCTTTGTGACCAAGGTGTGGCATTATCTCTGGGACACAGTGAACAGTGAGTTCAGGCATGACATGGTAGGGAGCACAGGAAGTGAAGCTGGGAGGTGGTCAGAGACTTGGTTACAAGACTGTGGACGCTTGGAGCTGGGGTCATTATTCTGAGGGCAATGGGGGAGCCATTGAAAGGTTTGGCAGGTGAGGGACTGATGGGGACACTGGTTTGGAAGCTCAAGCTGGTGTCTAATGAAGGGCAGTCAGCTTGGGGGCAGAGAGGCCAGTGAGAGGCGGGAGCAGCAACACAGGCTGTAATAAAGGGGACAACGTGGCAAAAATTGGAGAAGTGCATACGGGTCTGGGAGATTCAGACTGACATGGATTTCAGTACCTTCTCTCCCCAATCCCCAATTATTAGTTGTGAGCCCTGGGCAATGCACTTCTCTCTGACCCTCCATGACTTAGCTGAGGTGACAACGAAATGGGAAGAGTATGTGGCTGGTGACATGTAATAAGTGGGTACAAATGTTCTCTAGCCCCTTGAGGCAGAAGCTGATAACCAATTTTCTCCTGAGTCGCCCAGCTGAGGCCAGGGAAATTCTGAGCATGCTTGTTTAGAGAGGGTCACCGCCATGCCTGGGCAGCATCGCAGATCTGATGCTGAGACCAGTTTCTGAAAGGTGGGAAAGAAGACAGGGCCAGAAAACCTGGGGCAGATTCCTGGATTTCAATCAGCACCCAGGCCCAGCCCCTTCTGGTCCCAGCTGTACTGCATCTGGCTGAGTCCTGAGCCAAGTGACACCTGGTCCCTGCACTGGGGAGGTCCTCATAAACTAGGGGAGACTCACAAATAGAGCCATTGTGTCATGTGAGGACATACCCAGGCCAGCTCCTTAGGCTAAGGTCTTATTAAACCCCAATAGCTACTCTAGGAAGGAGGTGCCATTGCCTCTATTTTACAGATAAAGATGTGGCCAGTCTTCTAGTCTGAAAGTGACTAAGGCAGGAAGGAACCGTGACTTGTCCAGTTCCAGGGACTGAGCTTCCAGCCTGGCCCAGGGATTCAGGTTGAAGCAGGGCCCGAGAGGTGTGCTAGCAACATCAGCCTGTCCAGGCCTGGACCCCAACATCACCAACCTGTGACTCACTTCTGGACTACACAGGCAGGGCTGGGAGGGTCCATTTTGACCAGTGAGGGGCCCTCAACACACACAGATGCCTGCCCTGTGGAAATGAGTGGAGCCAAAAGCTCTGTGGCCTCTAGCTTCCAATTCATATCTGCCCCGAGCCCACAAGGGTGTGAAGAGGGCTGCCAGTGGCCTTTGGTCCCACCTACAGACTGAGCAGAGCAAAGTCAAAGGAAGTCTGCCTGGTCCTTGTCTCAGCTCTGTAGCCTTGCACACACAGGCCTGTGCCCTCTCTGAGCTTTAGTTTCCTGGTGGAATATTTCTTCAGAGAAAGTGCCCTGGGTCCTGCCGCTGACCGGCTCTGTGACTTGGAGCCAGTGAGTTCCTCTCTCTGGGCTTCAGATCCCTGCTGGCCAGGCTGCTCCACCTTCTACCCTTGGGCTGGGAAGAGAGTTAGTCACCCCCAGCTCATTAGGGAATCTAGGCCATGCCAATGGCAAAGTGGCCCCAGTCCCCTGGCTTGCTGGAGTAGCAGGAAAGGGCAAGAACAAAACCCAGACCCCAGCTGGGCCTGGAACTGGCTTCCCTTGGCCCACATGAACTTGTCAGGATCTCACCAGCCTGTGACATCATCTACATGCTGCTCCTTCTGCCCAGATGCTGTTGTCCACTCCTACTCTCCGAAGACACCTCAGATGTCCTCTCGTGGAAGGATTTTTACACATACACACACACACAGAGGCACGCGCACACGCACACACACATAACCCTTCCTCCAGGTTCCCAAATCACCTGTCCACAGAAACAGCCTTCAGTAGCCACTTAACCTGCATGCTTAAGGCATTCAATCCTCACAGAACTGTGAGTTAGGGATTATCCGCTCTCCTTGATGGAGGAAGGTTCAGAGAAGTTAGGTCACACATCTTCAGCCCCTCTCCAGGACCTCCACTGGTTGGGGCAGTGATGCCGGTAGTGGGGAGCACTTAAGTGCTGGTCATTATGGCTGAGAACGCCATCCTTGCCAGGACCTGGGGTCCTGGAGGGCCAGGAGGGCTTGCTCTCTGACTGCTGAGAAAAAGCAGCTTCTGTCAACACAGTCCGCAGTAAACACCTCGGCAAGTGACTTTCCCCTCTCTGGGCCTCAGTTTCCCTTTCTATAAAATGGGAGTGAACAGGACTGGGCTCGGGACTCCTAAGCCCTGTCCGGCTGAGCGCTAATGGTTCGGAGTTTGTCTCCATTCCCAAGCCCGCCCTGAAGCGCTCGCGGGGGCGGGATGGCCCCCAGGACCCAGGGTTCGGATCCGCGCCAAGGCGTTCCGGTCAGCAGCAGCCCCGCGGCTCCCCGGGCCCCGCCGTACTGGCAAACCCCAGTCCCCGCCAGCCCAATCGTGCTGGCGCTTTAAGGACGGGCGGGGCCGGCTGGGCGACAGCACTGGACACCTGGAGCTGCCCGGAGCCCGGGCCACCCGGAGTCTCGGCGAGGACGCGGAGGAGAGGTGGGGCTGGCGCGGTCACCACTGGAGTGGAGGGCGAGGCCCGGGTCCCGCGCGCCCCTGGGCGCCCCACGGCAGCCTCAGAGCCCCGCGGGGAGCGCGCAGCCCTCGGGGCGGGCGCCGGGTGTGAGGCCTGGCTCGGTCCCTGCGCACCGGGTGCGGGCGGCCCAGAGGGCGCGGCTGGTGAGCCCCGGGCGGGCCCGGGATCCAGGCCTCGGTTTTGCGGGCTGGGGAGCAGGGCTCGGGGGCAGTGGCCAGGCCCCCTCCGCCCCCGCCCCTAACACCCACACCTCCTGCAGACCCGAGGGTCGCCGCCGGCGGGGTCGCTCAGCCCTAGCGTCCTCCGCCACCACACCTTCACCCGCGCCCGGCTCCCCGCGCGCCTGGACAGCGCCTGCTGCCCGCCTCCCAATGGCCCTGCCCCAGGTGGGTGGAAACGGCCTTCTCCCTCCTTTGCAGGCACTCTGCCCCTTCTATCGTCGACCTTGCCCCGACCCCTTCCCCTAACCTCAGTCACGGTGGCTTGGTGGGCAGAGTGTGGACACCCGGGGCTCTGCCTGGGTTTTATCTTGCTGGGTGGCTTGAGGCCATGGCACTCAGGACCTTAATTGGGGATGGTTTGGGAAACTCTTGTTCGGACAATTTGGTCTTTACACAAAGCGGCCTCTAAAGTGCCTTTATTGGGGCCAGGTGCAGTGGCTCACGCCTGTAATCCCAGCACTTTGGGAGGCCGAGGCAGGCTGATCACTTGAGGTCAGGAGTTCAAGACCAGCCTGGGCAATATGGTGAAACCCTGTCTCTACTAAAAATACAAAAATAAGTCGGGCATGGTGGCGCCTGTAATCCTAGCTGCTTGGGAAGCTGAGGCAGGAGAATCACTTGAACTTAGGAGGCAGAGGGTGCAGTGAGCTGAGATTGCAGGACTGCACTCTAGTCTGGGAGACAGAGTGAGACAGAGTCTCAAAAAAAAAAAAAAAGAAAAAGAAAAAGAAATAAAAGTGCCCTTATTGGTATGGAGTAGGACATGGAGAATGGCATGGTGTTCTGTCCTGGGTTTGTGCAGGAGTGGGCACAGGAGGGAGGCTCTGTCCTCCGGACTCTCCTGACAGGAGCAGGGCCTTTCCACTAGACTTTTACTGAGGATGCTGCCCCCATGCCAGGGGGCAGATAATAGAGTCAGACTGGCCCTGCCACCAGTGAACAGATAGGGCAAGATGAAGGGCAGGGACAGGTACTGAGTACGGCTGTAGAAATAAAAATAATCATAATAAGAATAAATTTATTTTAATATATCCTCATTCTCAGAAGCAATATGGTGTCATTGTGCCCATTTACAGGGGAGGGCACTAAGGCGTGGAGAAGCTGGATCCTGCCAGTGTCAGAGCAGGGTGCATCCTCAGTCCAGCCTTGTGTCCCCATGCCTCACTTATAGCCTGCTGTCTTGCCATCTCATTTTCATTACCTGCTTTCCCCTTGCAGGCAGGGATTTGAACTCAGAGATGCTGGGCGGTCACAGAGCTAACAGGGAATGACCACTGTAGTCAGAGGGAGTGGTCAGTGGAGCCATGAGATCACGGGAAAGCCGTCTGGCTAGAGGGCGGTGGGGGCAGCTGCAGTAGACAGCCTTCTGGGAAGGGGTGCAATGAGGGCCCTGGATGGGAGCAGAGGGCGCTCCAGGTGGAGGGAGCACAGGTCTAGTAGAGGGTCCAGGAGTTTGGGTGAGAAAGGAGTTTGGGTGAGAACACCCTGCTGATAGTGACATCCCTGACCTATAATAATAAGGAAAACAACCACTGCGCAACGGAACAGGCTGCCCTTCATCCAGTGGACATTGACCTTCTCAACCCTCCACTCCCCCAGGATAACAGGTTAGCATGTGCCCTGCCTGCTGTGGTGGATCCACATGGAAGGAGCAAGACCCACACAGAAAATGACCCTGACCCCATGTGAGAACATGCAAAGGGCAGTTGCAGGGGTTAGTCTGAGGCCTGGGAGGAGTTAAGCTGGGAAGGAGGGCCACGCATTCTAAAGAGTGAGAGCTGCCTGTGCCAAAGACAAGTACATCTATTCGCAGCATGGTCCCAACTTTCTATACTAAAAGATACTGATAGACCTAGCTGTACACACACACACGGATTTGACTCAGACTAGACTTGGGTCCAAATCCAGCAGTAACCCTAGTGGACAAATTGTCACCCTATTGTGGTCACCAATTGTGGAGAAATTGTCACCCTAGTGGCCACAGTGTCTTTAGGACACAGTGCTGTTGTGGGGATAAAGTGAAGGGATACCTGTAAAGCGCTTGACATGGTGCCTAGCCCAGTAAATGCCCAGCCTGATAAATGCACAGCATACATCTGCTGCTGCCATCATCCTGTATGCAGGACAAAGGGGCAATGAACAGAAACAGCCACCTGGCGATTGTGCTCATCTCTGAGAGGCAAGATTAGTGGTGATTTGTATTTTGCTTTTTTTTTTTTTTTTGAGGAGTCTCACTCTGTCACCCAGGCTGGAGTGTAGTGCAGTGGTGCGATCTCAGCTCACTGCAACCTCCACATCCCGGGTTCAAGTGATTCTCAAGCTACTCCCGAGGAGCTGGGACTACAGGTGCCCACCACCACGGCCAGCTAATTTTTGTATTTCTAATAGAGACGGGGTTTCACCATGTTGCCCAGGCTGGTCTTAAACTCCTGACCTCAGGTGATCCACCCACCTCGGCCTCCCAAAGTGCTGGGATTACAGGTGTGAGCCACTATGCCCAGCCTGTATTATTTTTAATTTTTATTCTCTTTTGTGGTTTTCTCCTTTTTCCACAATGAGCAGCGACTATTGTTTGATAGAAAATAAAAAGCAGTGTAGGTTGCCCCATGCGGGCATGCCTAGGTGTGCGCTCCTCCAGTGCTGAGAACCATGCTGTACCTGGCTTTGGGCAAGGTCCTTCACCTTTTTGGGCTCACTCTCCTCATTTGTAAAATGGGGCTTTTCCTCTGGCCTGCCCCTGTAGGGAGGCAGGTGCAATGCTAGGTATAAAGGGCTGTTGAGTACCATAACATACATGCAGGGGTTACTGTTCTTGATTTGCTTGTGTGTTTTGGTTTTTGAATTTTTTCCCCACAAACAGGTTTCTTCTCTTGACAGCCTCTCCTAGCTCTTTGACTTTGGGGATGGGGGACCGGGGATAGTCCCTACATGAAAAGGCTTTGAGCTAGAGACAGGAGGCATTTGCGCCCTGGACAGATTCACAGGAAGAGAACTGCAGGTCATTTATCAATGGAATTTCTCTATTTGCATCCAGAGGTCTAGGGGTGCAGAAAGATTGAGGTCCACTCCCAGAGCCCCCCTTTTACATGTGTACATTCTGTATCACACACACACACACACGTGTATGTTTTTAAACACATTTGGTAACATTCCCTTTTGAAATGTAAAGTTTCACCTGCTACATCTTGAACATTTTCCATGCCCTTTAGCTCCCATGGGATCATGGCTTTAAGCGGCCACACAGCAGTATGTCATTTGGATATATTGTCGTTGGCTGGGCAAGCCCCCACTTGGAAGGGATTTGTGATCACTGAAGCCTCCCTTTAAGGTCTGTGGCCCCCGCTCCCTGCTTCACTGGCTCAGCCTCTGGAAGAGGAGACAGTGCTTCTGCAAATCCTCCTAGCAGCCTCCTAGAGAGCCTGCCTTTTATCCGATGAGGAAGCAGGCCCGGGGCAGGTGAGGGGCTTACCCCGTGATACAGCTGTAGAGGGGGGACCAAAGCCAGGACTGTCCTTCATGTCCCTGTGCTGTGGCAGCTGGAATCCTGCACTGCCTCCTCTCTCCTAGCTCTTCACAACTGAGGGTGGATTTTCACCCAACCAGCATGTATTTATCCAGCAACACTTTCTCTCAGTTCAGAGGATATATTGAGCAGTTATTATGTGCTAGGCACTGAGGGGATATAGTAGTAAACAAGGCGCATGTGGACCCTGCCCTCAGGCAGCTCATAGACCACGGAGTGGGACAAGTGAAGCAGAAGTTAAGCACAGGTTTCTGCTGTGGCAAATGTGGCCCAGGGCACTCAGGAGTTTAAAGTTAAAGTGTCTGCAGAGAAGGCTTCCCTGGTGAGACTGAGCTGAGCCTTGAGGGGAGCTAAGGGGAAGTTACAGGCACAGGGACTGGGAGGTACAATGGGCAGCCTAGAAATTGGCTTTGGGGACAACTCAGACCTAGGTTTCAGCCTCCTACGTCTATGTGATCCAGGGCCAGGACCCTTCCAAGTTTTTCCCCCTTGTGCATTCTTTTATTTAATTGAGACAACGCTGTATGCATAATTTAGTATACTAAGTTGAAAAAAGCAAGATGTGATAAATGTTTCCTCCTCTTGTTAAACCTTTGTGCTGAGCTTGATTTTTTTTTAAAAAAATGGGCTAATATTAATTATTCATTCTAGAGATTATGCCATAGTTTACTCACCATTTCTTTATAATTGAACATTTTAGCACTTTCCAAATTATGGCCACTATTAATAAGGCCACAGTGAACATGTGTGTGTGTGTGTCTGTGTGTGTGTGTGTGTGTGTGTGTGTGTGTGTGACAGTCTCACTCTTTTGCCCAGGCTGGAGTGCAGTGGTGCGATCTTGGCTCACTACAACCTCTGCCTCCCAGGTTCAAGTGATTCTTCTGCCTCAGCCCCCTGAGTAGCTGGGATTACACGCATGTGCCACCATGCTCAGCTAATTTTTGTATTTTTAGTAGTGATGGGGTTTCACCATGTTGGCTGGACTGGTCTCGAACTCCTGACCTCAGGTGAGCCGACCACCTTGACCTCCCAAAGTGCTGGGATTACAGGCGTGAGTCACCGCACCCAGCCCGGAGAACATCTTTTTCCACAAAGTTTTGCTCTATGTTGTGAATTTCGGCCTCAGACTCTTCAGTACCCCCTCTTTCACACTTGTTCTGGGTCTCGGTATCTTCCTCTGTTCAGTAACAGTGTCCATCTCACAAGATTGTGACCAGGTGAAGTCAGGCAGTGCATAACCAGCAAGCCCCAATCCTGGCAGGCCTGGAGGTTCCCACACGCCTTCACTTTCCTCTTTCCCAGCTTCCTGTGTGGTAGTCAGGGTGGGGAGTCTTCGACCCACCAGGCAGATGGGGCCCCTGAGGCCTGGAGGGAGGCCCTGAGTGAAAGCGGTCACACTTACTGAGCTTCTGCGATGTCCCAGGCATGGTGCTGATACATGTTTACCTCTGACCTTCAAAATAGCCCAGCAAAGTCAGGGACATCATCTCCACTTCACAGATGAGGAAACTGAGGCCCAGAGGAGTTAAGTGACTTCTCCAAGGTTGTACAGTGACCTCAGGCAGCTGAGGATTAACACCTGGCCTCCAGCACCTTTCATATGGCCCATTTCCTCTTCTCCCTCCTTCTCTGTGTCCAGATGTGTGACGGGAGCCACACGGCCTCCACCCTCCGCTATTGCATGACGGTCAGCGGCACAGTGGTTCTGGTAGCTGGGACGCTCTGCTTTGCTTGGTGGAGCGAAGGGGATGCAAGTACCCAGCCTGGCCAGCTGGCCCCACCCATGGAGCATCCGGTGCCCGAGGGCCCCAGCCCCCTGCTCAAGTCCGTCAGCTTCGTCTGCTGCGGCGCAGGTGGCCTGCTGCTGCTCATTGGCCTGCTGTGGTCCTTCAAGGCCAGCACCCGGGGGCCACCCCGATGGGACCTCTATCACCTCTCCAGAGACCTGTACTACCTCACTGTGGAGTCCTCAGAGAAGGAGAGCTGCAGGTCAGCAGGGCAGGGTGGGGCAGTGGGTGGGGATCACAGGTAGGGGCCCAGTCACACCAGCCCACCAACCAGCATTTGTAATTCCAGCAAATTCTCATGGGGTTCCTCCTTTGGACCAGGCTTTGCCCTGTGCCCTGGGTAGATGGAAGCTGATCAGTACAACCCTGAAGGAATTTAAAGCCCCATGACAAAGGCTGATGATGACAAACCGGAGTAGGTAGTGCTGTGTGAGAGAGGCATGTCTTCTAAAGACATAGAGAAACCCAGGAAGGCTTCCTGGAGGAGGTGGCAGCTGAGCTCAGCTTGCTATGGGACAGAATAGCAGAGGGTTAAAAGCCTAGACACAAGAGTCAGACCCACTGGACCCTGTTCTGGTTCTATCACAAACTAGCAGTGGGTCTTTGAGTAGATCATGCAATCCCCCTAAACTTTTTAACTTCGTCATTTGAAATAAAAAGGACTAATAGCAACAGCAATAATAGCAAACCCCTCTACAGTACCAGCCATGTGCCAGGCACTGTTCAAAGTGCTATCCCATACTCCCTCAGCTGATCCTTACAGCAGTCCTCTGAAGTAGCTACTGTTATGAATTCCATTTGTAGAGGAGGAAATGGAGGCATGGAGACACTAAGTAACTCAGTCAAGGACATCAGCTAGTGTGTGTCAGAACCAGGACTTGAACCCAGGCAGTCTGGCCTCAGAGTCTATACTCAACGCCCACTCCCTACTTCCGGTGACACTTGGGAAAATTAAATGAGATATGTATGTTGAGCTTTAGCCCAGTGCCTGGAACACAGCAGGTGCATAGCAAATGTCAGCTTTTCCTCTAGTGGACGTGGTGGAAAAGAGGCATTTTAGGCAGGCAGAAGAACATGCACAAAGGTATGGGGATGGGGACAAAGTGTTGCATGAAGACAGCGTCTCTCAACCTTCTGTTTTCATTATCGGTCTCCCTACCCTGCCTTGTGCCGTTCTTCTTAGACTTTCTTTTTTTTCCCCAAATCCTCCTCCACGAAATTGTAATACCCCAGATACACTGTGTATTTGTTTATGTTCTATATGTGTATCTGTGCTTTATACATAAAAAGAGTATTACCCTCCCCAAGAACCAGTGTTTGTCCTGTTGAGAATGCATGCATTATGCATGCCCTTTTATGTACTTATTTATTCAACAAAGTATAGAGTGTGCCTATGTGCCAGGGGCCTGTGTACATCACCTCCTGTCCTTCTTTCTGTTGCCTCCAAGGTAAGAATGACTGTTGTGTCTGCAGAAAAGGAAGGGGAGGCATAGCCAGAAAGTGGCAGGAGCCTGCTGGCTGCACAGCTGGCATTCTTCCCCCCGCATCAGTCCTAAGCCCTGGATCCCTGTGTGAGAGGGGCTAAGCCAGACTGCTGTGAGCTGGCCTGGACCTGGGACCTGAATGCTCTTCCTCCCTGTGTTAAGAGGGAAAGTGTTGTCCGAGTCAAAGAATGTAGGAGCATTCCTGCTACCAGCCTGTGCCTTCTTAACGCTAGAGATGATGCAGTACAGTCGGCCCTTTCTGTCTATGGGTTCTGCATCCATGATTCAACCAACCATGGATCCAAAATACTTGAAAAAAAGAATTGTGTCTGTGCTGAACACGTACAGACTTTGATTTCTTCTCATCATTCCCTAAACAGTACAGCATAATAACTATTTACATAGCATTTCCATAGTGTTAGATATTGCAGGGCCTTGGGGACTCTCCAGCCAAACCCTTCACTTCTCAGATGAGAGGCCTGAGTCTCAGAAAGACCAAGTGACCTACCTGGTCATACAGTGAGTTAGTGGTCAGCTGGAACCAGGCCAGGCCCCAGATGCTCTGGACCAGAGCCTGCTCCTCCCACCCAGCCGGATGTGAGTGCAGGGGCTGGGTGTTGCCTGTACACACAGCCATGTTGATGCAACAGGGTCTAGGCACAGCTGTGCCTGGCAGGTGGGGCCCCTTGGCCCTCACTCCCAGTGGGCCAGGGAGGAAGCCCACCCAGGAGGCCACAGGGTGATCCTAGCCCATTGAGCTCCAAGACCCAAGTCGTAGACTCAGAAACTGGGTGCCGGGGGGTCGAGGAGGCTGCTTTTGCTGGCGGTGCTCTTTCCTGTCCCGAGGCTGACCCAGCTCAGCCCTGCTGCCTGCAGAGCCCAGCACCTGGCCCCCATGGGTGGCTACTCTGCTATTCTTGCTCCCAGGCACCTCGGTCTCTGGTGGTGCCCGCTGTGGGTAACTCCAGGTCAGAAACAAAACCTTCCTGGGCTGATGGCTTGGGCAGGTCCCTTCCCCTCTTGGCCTCGGTTTCCCTGTTTATTCATCTACTTATTCTTTCATGCATGTACCTAATATTGATTGAGCACACAGAGGTACGCTGGGTCCTATTCAGAGAACTGAAGTGCCACAGCGGGCAAAACAGACAAAGCCCCTGCCCTCAGGAAGCTCATATCTTCAGTGTAAGTCCCCTTAGTGAGGTGACTGGATGTGGGGCCTCCAGCAGTCCCTGCTCTTTCTTTTAGAAGCTGTGTGTCCTTGAGGATTTTACTTAGACTCTCTGAGCTGTGTCTGACACCTCATCTCTCAGCTGCGGTGACAGACCTTTTCCCTATCATCGCTGTCAGGCTCAGATGAGATGAGAGTTAGGGAAGCATACATGCTGTAGCTGGTACATGCACCTGCTTTCTCTGCTATTCCTGTTTTAGTTTACAATGCACCCTCATGCCCACTAGATTTGAGCCTCAACTGCTTATGAGGTAAGTGTAAGGATTGGGTCCATTTGACAGCTGAGAAAACTGAGGTGAGGAGAGATGAGGTGGCTTGGGGGAAAGGTGTGATGGGTGGACTTAGCTTGAGCATTGCTGTCAGACGAAGCTGGGACTTTGCCACTTAGCCGACACATGGCCTTTACTCATCCATAAAATGGGTGTGGGCCTCTACCCCCGAGGGTGGTTGTGAATATGAAAGGAGATTAGAGAACTTAAGTGTTGGGCAAATTGTGTTTCATCCTTTGCCCCACTCCTCCTGGGTTTGCCTGACTCAGCTGAAGGGCAGTGGAGCTGGTGCCAGGCCCAGGTCTTCTGCCCCAACCAGGCTGCAAAGATTAGGGTGAGCCCTGGCCTCCATGGCACTTCCTGTGCAGGGAGACCACTGTGGCAGGACTGCCCCACACAGCTGAGAGGTGCCACATCCAGAGGCACCATGAATGGGGCCCGCTCCCAGAGGGGTGTGATGCGGCTGCCCTGCTCACTGAGTTCCTGGCATCCTCGACCGTGACCTTGGCGACTTGGAGCTGGGCGGGCCCAGCTGGCCACTAAGGTGGCAGAAGGTGGTGTGAGGGCCGCTTCGCATCTGCCCTCTAAGCAAACTTCCTGCTGTGGGCAGAGCTCACTGGCACCTGTGCCCTGCCCTGCCAGCTGTCACCTGCTGGGATGGCCCCAGGCCTACCCAAAGCCTGTCTCACGTGTCCAGGCTTCTAAGCGGGGCCGGAGCATGGCTGGGAGGTGAGCAGGCAGGAGATGGGCCTCTGGAAGCTAATTACTCTCACTTTTCTGTGTGTTGTGAAACGTTTGTTTTTCATTTTTTTCTTCCCCTGAATCTGAAAGGGGAATTATTATCCTCATTTTACAGATGAGGAGAAAGAGGTTCAGAGAAGGTGTGAATGTGGTCCAGGTCACACAGCAATAGAACCCAGCTTGCCTGCTGCCAGGGGCAATATTATGTATCCCGCCCTCATCTGCAAGGATGCTGGGAGCTTAGAGGAGGGTGAGGACAGGCACCGTCTCAGCTTCCTGGGCTGTCTTCCAGAGAAGGAAGCGAGGTCTGTGAGAATCTGTGGAAGCACTGGACACGGAGTTCTATGTTTGGGACTCCTGGCCGGTGTCCCAGGGATTTCTGGCTGGTGCCCTGCCCTGTACTGACATACAGGCTGGGGTTCAAATCCAGCATCCCATCAATCTGCTCCATCACCCTGGTCTGTGATTGGGAGTGGTGAGCCTCCCAGCAGGCTGCTGTGGGGCTGCAGTGGGCCCAGAAGACACATTGCCAGAGAAAGTCCAGGTCTCCAGTGGGTGTTGGGCGTTCACCTGAGGGGCGGCAGCAGCTTCCCAGCATGGGCCCCTCCATCAGCCCCTGGAGCTGAGTCCCATCTACTGCCTCTTCTGTTCCCCCGGCTGGCCTCTTGCCATTGGCCTTTCCTCGGTCTAGACAGTAGGACCATAGGTGTGGAATAAACTGCTTCCCAGCAGCTCCAAACCGAGGAGCCTGGCAAGTGACTCAGCCTCTCTGTCTTGTGGAGCCTGCCATCTAGAGGCCTGTGATAAGCTTTGCTCCCCCACCCATTCCCCACAGGAGCCCCTTGAGATTCTGTTCATAACCCCACTTACATCCCAGGCACTGAGTGCCGCCCTGCGTGAGCCCATTTAACCTGCACTCTGTCCTGTGAGGCAGGTGCCACTATTGTTCCCCATTTTACAGGTGAGGAAACCAGGCCCCATGAATGGAATTAGAGACCCATGATCTCCCAGCAGGAATGTGTCCAAGCAGGGAGGTGAACCACCAGTGCCCAGACTCATAACCACCCTCGGTGTTGGAAGGGACCTTCAGGATCACCCCCAAAGCAGGAGCAGCCCGCACCTAGGATCAGTGACATTCCCACCCCACTCCCCACTGTGTGTCCCAGGTGGGAAAGGGGCATTGGATCCCCAGAGATGACCCGCCAGGGCTCTGAGGGGGCCGACAGCTGGTCTCGTTCCTATCAGCCTCAGGCTGCCGGGGGCGTGGGTGATCTGTCTCGGGGTCTGGCCTGCAGAACCTGGTCAGTGGAGCCACAGAGAACCTGGTCTCTGCCTCAAGTCCCTGTGGGGTGGTTTAGTTGGCCAGGGGTGGGGACGAGAAAAGAGTCACAGGACAGTAAAGCTGTCCAGAGATAGAGGTGGTTGATCTGGTAAGTTGTAAGCTCTCCATCCCTGGAGGTATGCACGTAAAGATAATCACTTGGCAGACATCATATCAAAATCTAAAGCATCCAGATGGGCAGAGGAGTTGAGGTCTCCCATTCTGCCCTGGGCATCCCAGTTCTGATCTGGTAAAGGATATTTCAATAGGTGGGATCCTTTCTCTCTATGGACCACCATCACTCAATCTTTCAACAAACACCCCTAAGCACCTACCCTCAGCCCCTGAACTCTCAGTCACTGCCCTAGGGCAGGACTTTTCCTGCAGAGAGGACTTAGGAGGCACCAGGAGGTGCTGGGGGCACACACAGGGAACTAACTCTATGGAGCAGGGAGGGGGTGGCGGGAAGGCTGAGGGCCGAAGGGGCTGGCTCATGCCAAGTTTCAACTGTGTGTATGGGGCCTTGGGGAGCCGAAAAGGCTTGGAGCAGGGTGTGAAGACTTCTCTGCCCCCAGCCTTTCTCACTGTCTCCCTGGCAGGCAGCAGGGTCTGTCCCAGCCCCTGTTAACAGCCTCTCTTCTGTTCCCGCAGGACCCCCAAAGTGGTTGACATCCCCACTTATGAGGAAGCCGTGAGCTTCCCAGTGGCCGAGGGGCCCCCAACACCACCTGCATACCCTATGGAGGAAGCCCTGGAGCCAAGTGCACCAAAAGATGCCCTGCTCAGCACCCAGCCCCCCTGGCCTCCACCCAGCTACGAGAGCATCAGCCTTGCTCTTGATGCCGTTTCTGCAGAGACGACACTGAGCACCACGTGCTCCTGCTCAGGCCTGGTTCAGACTGCACGGGGAGGAAGCTAAAGGCTTCTAGCGGGCCCTGAATCCAGAGACAAAAATGCTGTGCCTTTTCCGGAGTCTCGTGCAGTGCCTGGGCCACAGTAGGCACTCAACAGATGTTCATTGTCGCAGGCTGTTCTATTTATCTATTGCTGTATAGCAAACCACCCCAAATTGAGTGGCTTAAAATAAATCCCATTTTATTATATCTCACGACTCTGTGAGTTGCCTAGGCCCAGCTGGGGGTGTTCTGCCCTCTGTGGTATGGGTGAGGGCCGCCATTGGGGGCCCAGCTGGCCAGAACATCCTGGGTGGCACTCCTATGGCCAGTGGTGAGTGCTGGCTGTCAGGTGGCAGATTGTGTGCAGGTGAGAAAACTGGGGCCCAGGGGCACACATCACATTTATAACAAGAAGAACATGGCCTCTGAATTCAGACCACCTATGTATAGGTTCCACAGGTACCTTTTTTTTTTAGACAGGGTCTCACTGTGTCACCCAGACTGGAGTGCAGTGGCTCAATCATGACTCGCTGCAGCCTCTTTCTCCCAGGCTCAAGCGATCTTCCCACCTCAGTCTCCCAAGTAGCAGAAACCATAAGCATGCCCGACTAATTTTTAAAAATTTGTTGTAGAGAGGTAGCTTGCTCTGTTGCCCAGGTTGGTCTCGAACTCCCAGCCTCCTAAAGTGTTAGGATTACAGATGTGAGCCACTGTGCGCAGTCTGCCATGTACCATCTTAGTGACTTGGATGGGTGACTTTTCCTCTCTCCGCCTCAGCCTCCTCATCTGTAAAATGGGAATTAAGGATTCCCTCAAAGAGCCGATTTGTGAGGATTCAGTGAGATGATAGCAACTGACATGTGAGTTCACACTGATGCCGCCGTCAGTGGCTCAGTGCTGAGGCACCAGATAATAAAGGCAGGTGTCTTAGCCCTGAGCCAGGTGCCTAGTACATGTACAGTAATTGTCAGTTGTATTAGTAGAGGTAGCCCTCCTCCACCAAGGGAAAATTCGGCCTCTGCTCCCATACCTCCTGTGACGGGAAGCTCACTACTTTTGCTCACTTTGCAGATGTGGCAGAAACATCTACTTTTGACCAGCCCCATTCTGCATCCCTACATCTCTAGCCCATCCCACTTCCATGAAAAGAGGTGAAGTAACCTTCCCAGGGTCACACTGCCAGCAGGGGTCCAAAGGCCTGCGGCTTAGTCAGCTGGAGAAGGGTGGCATCCCCAGAGCCTACTGTGTACTGGGCCTGGTCCTCTGCCATCGTGTCATCTTCAGATGCCCTGCGACAGGTGGTGGTGTCAGCATTTGACAGGTGAGGAGCTAGCTTTGGAGAGGTAAAAATCCCAGACGATAAAGTCACAGCCGGTGTGGGGTCCTCCCACCTAGGCTGCATCATTGTCACAGTAGCCACCATCTGGTCTTGGTCTCTCTGCTTCTCCCTGAGGCCCTTGCAGTCTCTTCTCAGCCCAGCAGGCAGAGTGATCTGTTCAGGCCCAGGTCAGATCATGACCCACCCCGCCCCGCCGCACCCCACCCTTCCCTCCCCCGCCCCGCCCCTGTGGCTCCCAGCTCACCTTGAATAATGAAAGCCCAGGCCAGGCACCATGGCTCACGCCTGCAATCCTAGCAGTTTGGGAGGCTGAGGCGGGTGGATCATGAGGTCAGGAGTTCAAGACCAGCCTGGCCAAGATGGTGAAACCCCATCTCTACTAAGAATACAAAAGTTAGCCAGTGGCGGGTGCCTGTAATCCTAGCTCCTCAGGAGGCTGAGGCAGAGAATTGCTTGAACCCAGGAGGTGGAGGTTGCAGTGAGCCAAGATCGCACCACTGTACTCCAGCCTAGGCGACAGAGCGAGACTCCTTCTCGGAAAAAAAAAAAAAAAAGCCCAGACACTGGTCTGGGGAGAGGGGGGCTCTGAGGCCTGATCTGAGCCTGTCCTCTCTCCTGACCCTCTCATCTCCTGACACTCCCTCTCCCTGCTCTCTGCTCCAGCCAGTCTCACTGAGGCCCTTGCACTGACTGTTCCCTCTCTCCTGAAGCGCTTCCTGGGGGCTGGCTCTTCAGCAACCTGGGGATCTCTTCTGACCCCCTCCCTCCCCCATCACCAAACTCTGGATGCCTCCTGTGCCTCCCTCCCTTCCTCTCCTTTACAGTCACTGCTTCACCCTCCCTTCTTGGTATTAACACAGGACAGTCTAGGAACCTGGAGGTGTAGGTGTGAAGTGACCTTGGGTGGGTTAGCTGAGTTAATGAGTTGCCAGTGTGACCAGGAGGCACCATTTTACTGGGCAGGCACTGAAGGGGCAAGGGCGGGGAGGGCTGGAAGCACAGAGAGACCTTTTCTGCCTTTCTGTCCGATCCACTCATCTGTGTCGTAACTGGAAGCCCGCAGGAGGGGCCATGACTTGCTCAAGGTCACCAGCATCATGGAGGAGGCTGAGTCAGGGATGCAGAGGGAGACAGACTCCTGACCAGGCCATGTTACTGTCCTCTTCCAAGCCAAAGTGGCCTCGCTGTGAATGGGGGCTCCCCATGTCGTGCCCACCGGCAGGGTGCCTGACCATGGAGCCATGTGAGGGCCAGCTCTGCCACTCTGCAGCCCCCGGGGGCACCAGTTTGCTTGCTGATTTCTTTCCTCCTGGGCCCAACCGTCCAGTTTCTTCACCTCCTATTCAGACCTCATCTGGTGCTGGCCACCAGAGTCTCAGATGACGAATCCTCAGAGCTCAGACCTCTCCCGTGCTTTCCTTGGGCCCCTCCCGGGCTTCTGTTACCTGCTGGGTGGGCTTGGTGACCCCTGCCCCTGGAGCTCTCCCCTTAAAAATCAGCCCATCCCAGTTAGAAATCCCTATGCTACCCCCTCAGTGGCTCAGTGCTGCTCACTGGGATCTTTCTCTAACTCAAACGTTAAAATCTGGTTCTCGTCTTTCCCCTGCATAACCTCTGTGAAAAATGTCAGACACCTTAGCCCCAGCAGGTTTCCTGCCTGCATTTCCTCTCCGGCCTCTCTCTCCCACGGACACAGATTCCATCCCTCTATTCACATGAGCATCCAGAGCCTACCCTGTCCTAGCCCCTGGGGATAGAGCAGTGCTCAAAACAAAGTCCCCACTCTGTGGGTGCTTGAGTTCTAGCGGGGGGAGACAGACAGACAAGAGACAAGATAAATCACACATATAGTATGATGGGTGGCTGTGAGCACGATGGAGAAACATTGGGAAAGGAATACAGGGAACCCCTGGGGAGGCGATTCTGCAGTTTTATAGCAGAATCAGGGAAGACCTTACTGTGAAGGCAACATTTGGGCAAAGGCCTGAAGGAGGTAAGGGAGGGAGCCATGCAGCTACAGGAAGGACAGCACTCCAGGCAGAAAGAACAGCAGGTGCGGAGGTCCTGGGGTGCATGCGTGTTCTGGGAACAGCATGGGGCCAGGGTGGTGGAGTGGGTGAGTGAGAGGGGGTGTGGCGGGAGACAAGCTCAGAGGATTGATATGCAGGCAGCGTGGGCCAATTATCCAGAGCCTTTTGGGTCATCTTAAAGCATTTGGTTTTTACTCTGATGAGATGGGAAGCCATTACAGGGCTCCGTGCAGAAGAGGTACATGTTCTGACCCAGTATTGGGGTTGCAAAGAGACTTCAGAGGTCAAGGATGGAAGTAGAGACCAGTTAGGGAGAGAAAGAGATGATGGAGGCTCAGACCCGATGACAAGCAGTCGTGAGGGGTGAGAAGTGATTGGATTTTTACATGTTGGAGGTAGAGCCCATAGGATGTGGGTGTGAGGGAGGAGGTGAGGTCGGTGGCATGGATCACTAACTGGAAAGATGGGGTTGTGGGAGGGGCAGAGCTGGGGAGGAAGACACAATGCAGGCAGCCTGTGCACAGCACTTAGAGCTTTCTCGCCAGCCATGTGTTGGTGGGTACGTGCCTCAGTGCCTTTGCACATGCTGGCCTCTGTGCCTGGAAGGCTTCTCCTGCCCCATCAGAACTCCATCTGCCTTCTCAAGGGTCCCTTCTGTGAATCTGTCCCTTCACCCCTCATTCCCATCTGTTCCTCTTTCTGCTTTGTGCACATTCGGGACCTCGCACGCATCACCAGAGCCATTACCCATGATTGTGGCCCCAGAAGGTGCCCCAAGAAGGTTAGCGAGCTGAGCGCCATCCCATCCCTTAAGCCCTGTATTTGCGGAGTTCCTAACCCCTTCAGTCGTCCCCCACCAGCAGTGGGACTCACCAGGAGACTACCGCCTGGGACTCTGGGTGGACTCCTGGGCTCTACTGTCTGTCCCAGGCGTATTCTGGGATAACCCACGTTGGTTGCTCGCCCTTGCCTGCATGGGCCCTCGGTGTCCATCTCTCATGTCAACCCATGCGCGTGCTCTTTCCACCTCCCCAAAAACCACCACTGAAACCAAAGCGGAGCTGTTCATAAGGGCAGAAGCTGCTCCTTCAAGCGAGCGATTCCCGAGCACGCCGCGCGTTACAGCAAGAACACGCGCCACTGCATGGAAAACGAAAGCGATCCCGCGTCTCTACACCTCGTCCCCAAGTGGCCGGGGGAGGTCAAATAAGGCGGGGCGCGGAGCTGGGGGGCGCGCACTGAGGAGAGAGCGCGTGACGGCCTGAATACCCGAACATTTCAGCCGCACCCTACACACATGTCCTTACTTAATCCCTAGCCTGACTCTGTGGAAGGGCTTACGATGAGACCAATATAAGAGAGAGATAAGAAAAAAGAGATACACCTTGATTCCTACTTGTTACTGACTTTCTGTACTCGCTTGTTATCGTTTCTTGTCTTGTTTTTTTGCTTTTGTTCTTTTAGAGCGAGAGCGAACTCAGAAGAAAGGGGGCACCAAGAGACTGGGCAGTGGTAGCAGGAAACGAAAAGGCACGAGAGAGGAGAGTGCCCGGGTGACCGCGAGGCCTCTGAGGAAGCGCTGAAGACCAGATCCGTCTACATGCAGGGCTGGGAGGGGAGAGTCCCGCTCCCGCCCAGTCCGCGACTCAGCCTGAGGGAGACCTTAGCCAGCCCCTGCCACTCCCGCGGCGCTCGGTTTCCTCGCCTGTGAAACGGGGGCGACTGATCCAATCCCGCCCGCGACTCGCTCATCACCAGGTCCGAGCCCAGCCGCCGCCCCGGGGGGAAGGGTTTGCCCAGCGCCGGGCGGCGCAGGAGGCCCTGCAGGACCGCGGCCTTGCGA